GGTCCAGGAAAAATGGCTTTGAAAAAAATCAAGGTGGAATAAACGGAACAACGGGACTATTTTTTGAGCGAGTGATTATTTCAAGAAGTTTTAGCACTTATTCGAAAGCTCTAATCCTCTAGTTTCTAATTAGCCTTAGACATCTGCAAAATGTTGAGTATGAAGAAAGTTATTAACGTTTGAATGTCGAAAACTCGCGCCTTCTCAAAAATCGGACCCCAAACCACCCAAGAACGGAACAACGGGACTATTTTTTGAAAAAATGATCGCTGGAAAAATTTTCAGGTGCTTGTTCGAAAGCTCTAATCTTCTAGTTTCTAATTAGCCTTAGACATTTGCAAAAAGTTGATTATGAAGAAAGTTATGAATGTTTGAATGTCAAAAACTCGCGTGTGCACAGAAAACGGAACAACGGGACGATTTTTTGAAATATTGAACATCCACAACATTTCAAATACTCCTCAGGAAGAAAACTATTTATATTTTCAAAATTTTGGTGTCCGATTTCATGAAACAGCAAACAAAGACACAAAAACTTGGAAATTCTTCTATCTAATGAATAAAACTTCATTTGCCTCGATTTCCTCCTCTGAGCGAGACAAGCGCGCGGATTGACCACGGTCCACCACTTCTCCATGTTGGTGACTGCCATCATTGATGAGCATTGATGAGCATTAAATTATGTGAAAGACATGATAGTTAATATGGGGGGTCGTACCGATACCCCCGAAAAGGAAGGGGGTCGTAAAAATTTTGGGAATTTGCGCAACGCAGGGTTGACCCTGCGCGGAGCTGGTGCTCGTGTGAACTAACGGAAGTCCAACGAAAAACCTGTTAGTTTTCTGTTTTCAACAACAGCTTGCACTTGTTAGTTCCCCACCGCTAACAGTTGTAACAGTTTCACAGCTGAAATTCTAATTTCTTACAGTCTCCCTAGCTGGTCGGGTCTCATTCGTGCTGAACGTGCTTATGCTCTGTCCTTGCAGGTGTAGGTTGAAATTATAGAACTAGGCGGAATTTCTCCTAGGCGTGAGGTGTTACTAATCTTTTAGCTGACTCGAGTGGGCGCTGCCCGTCTTGCGGGGTGGACAGGGCCCTTAGAGCCGCGGTACGCGACGGTCGTCCTCGGCGTGTGCGCTGCTACGCCTAGGCTCTGTCTCGCTCCATGGCCATTTGCGTGGGCGTGCGCGCGGCCCTAGAAGTGTGCGCCACGTAGTGGCCCCGCCCCCAGCCGAGGCCAGTCGTCATGCGGTCGCCTCCTGCCGGTTGAGGCGCGCTTCCTCTCCGTCCCTTGATGGAGGAGGCATTCAAGGCTACGGCCGCCAGGAGGCCAAGGGCGACAAATGAAGTGCGCAGAGCACTTCATGGGCGCATTGCTGCCGTGCGGTCGGGCGCGGGTAAGTCTCCCTCGGCGGAGCATCGGTAAGTCCCACCATGCGTCCCTATCGAGGTTCGTCCTCGCTTACGCTCAATGGTGTGATCGGCTGTAGGGCCCTTAATAACATCTGTGAGGGGGGAGGCAGAGCGCAGTGTAGGATTTTTTTTATTTTTTTTTCCGCACCACGAAGGACCCTTCCGAGGACATGGTCAGATCCGACGCCGGCAGGACGTAAGAGTAGGACGATGGATTGTTCAGGAAAGGACCTCTAATAAATGTGAGTATTTATATGTGTTGTATTATCATGTGTGGAACTAGTGGTCAGGGAGCGCCAGGGCAAGGGGCCCGACTTGTGCGCTATACCGTCCAATGTATCGGTTGTTATGTTGTGCTGCGTAGATGCCTCGGGGAGCGGCGCCGTGTCGGGGGAAAACGGCACGGTCCCCGGGATGACCCGCTAGGACAGGCACCCTCTAGTTGAGAGAAGGGGATCCGGAACCCCGATCTGTCGCACCGGGAACGGGACCCGGAGGGCGGTCTCGGGGAAGACGGCACCCTTCCCCCAACGGTTCCGCGACAGCCCTTGAACAAGACAATCTTGTCGAAACCTTAGGTCACTAATCAATTCTTCACCTGAAAACCTCGTTGGCAGAAGAAGAACATTGCAATTACAACAATGGCAAAGTTCTACGAACAAGAATTTAGAATATGGTTAAGATTGGGTTTTTTCGTGGAAGATTCCTTTCAGCTTTGCCAGAGGAAGTTCTTCCATAACAAGCTCAAATCGCATCAATTCAGATAGACTTCCGCCGAATGTTCATCTATTCAAGTGGATACCACAGGCGGATCTCCTTAGACATCCAAAAACTATTGCGTTTATATCCCATGGTGGATATAACAGTTTACAGGTAAGAATCAATCACAGGTTTTCTAGGAGTACTGTATAAAATGCTTTCCAGGAGGTCATTGCCGCAGGAGTTCCATTGATAACAATTGCTCTGTGGGGAGATCAACCGAGGAATGCGAAACTGGCGGCAAAGCTTGGAATCGCTTTCAACCTGCAAAAAAGCGACATCAGCGCGACTACTATCACTGATGCTCTCAACAAAGTGATCAACGATAGAAGGTAACGAAGAGAAATGACCCTATTTCTCCTTTTTCGGAAAGGAGATACTAGCAGCTACTACTAAGAAAGGGTTCAGTTCCCATGGAACTTTTAATTGATACCTAGGCAAATCGATGGAGGCTGAGATGTTGGATACAAAGACGAATTTCAAAACTGCTACGTATGTAAACTTGCCAGCGACGTTTTCAGCGATCAAATTGGTCAAAGTACAGTATAATGTTCCTATAAGGTTGCTCGCCAGAAAACTGTTGCCGAGTTGCCACGCGGTGGGGTTTACCTTTAAAGCAATTTGGGGCTATAAGAGAGCTATTGACTATTATATAATTGCTAAGTCCAGACTGTCATTGATCAGCCTGAATAAGCTGCTCTGACGGCGTATATTAAATTGATGGAGGATACTGTCAAAGATTTTGTGGGTCCAATTGTGGCCGTTGAAGGATTCGAACGCGACCTTGAAGCTGGAGACTTGAAAGCTAATGCGGCCATCTGAGCTCGCGCAGAACAACATGAGGCCGATGTCATAGTTTGCGAATCGAGCGATTCGCTAGCGAATCGCTCGATCCGAGCGTTGCGCCAGCGAATCGAACGTTGCACCAGCGAATCGAACTTTGCCAGCGAGTCGAGTCGAACTAGGTACCAGCGACTCAATAGTGGCGGGACCCAACGTTTAAAGGAAGCCCGCCACTTTCAAACAGTGTCACGTGACAGTGGACGCTGTTTGAAAGTGGCGGGACTTTGCAGTGGACACTGTTTGAAAGTGGCGGGCTTCCTTTAAACGTTGGGTCCCGCCACTATTGAGTCGCTGGTACCTAGTTCGACTCGCTGGTACATCGTTCGACTCGCTGGCGCAAAGTTCGATTCGCTGGTGCAACGTTCGATTCGCTGGCGCAACGCTCGGATCGAGCGATTCGCTAGCGAATCGCTCGATTCGCAAACTATGACATGCCTAATAAATCGAAACTCTGCAACCCTGATTACTGTAGCTTCTGCTACACCAAGGTTCGATTCCCACGATGGCAGTATTTTTCCATTTCAGGTGGGCACTTCCAAATC